GCGGGCTGCTAATATTTTATTTAAAATATCTTTAGGAAGCGGAGGGCCGTGATGTATCGGATGTATTGAGAAAATGCTAATGTGTAATAGCGTGTGTCAGGGGCCTCGTTCATCACCCCGTGCCGCCTTCTGGGGGATCCATATCTAATTAACAGTAATGAATGAGGGAGCCCACCTAATGACAGCCCGCCAGTTTGTTATGGAAATGAGGCAATCCCATTAGGCAAAACACTTAATTAAACAAACTGCTCGGAGAGGAGGCTGGAGCAGGATGGGCACAGGCCCTTTGGGGGATCAGGGGGCCCTAGTACCCACCCCACCCCCCCATATGCCAGGTGGGGGGCACAGGGTCTGCTGCGGCCCCACAGAGCCAAGTGCCCACGGACAACACCAGCAGCCATGGGCTGGGGGAGCTGAGAGGGACCCATGGGGGTGGTCCAGGCTGGGGAGGGGGCAGCGGGGTGGGTCGTACCCCCCTCCCGTCTCTCTGGCATGTCGATGGGCGCAGAGGCCAAACACAGATTTCCAATCAAACGTGTGTACTTGGCTCCTGCTCTATTGACACTGAAGCAAGAAGGGCTCAAGGTTAATTCCTTATCAATACCCGATTGTCAGCTCATTCATCACCCGGGGAGGGCAGGGGCTGCCCAAGCTCTCCCTGCCCCAGCCCCCATGGGTTTGGGAGGGGGGGCTGAAGGATGCTGTGCACCCCTCTGCCCACCCCAGACCTGCCTGGGTGGCCCATCTCCAGCCAGTGGTGCAGGGGACAGATGTGCAGCCCTGTGAGGATGAGGAGACGAGGGGACGGGGGCTCAAGTTCAAAGGGAAGGGGCTGGGGGGGGATGCTGGGGGGCAGGCAGAGTAAGCAGCTGCCTGGTGAGCCCCTGCCTCCCTTACCCGTACCAGGACTGGATGCAGGGTGCACTGGGGGGGGTCCAGACAGTGGCTGTGACCCCTGGTTGTGCTATTCTGTTTCCTAACTGCCCCCCAAGCCCCCAGCAATGTGGGCTGGGTGGGGAGGAGGGGTCCTGCTGCCTTTCCAGAGAGCAGCTCTAAGCTCAGCTCCCTCTCCAGGGCTGGGGGGAGCTACAGGGAACCCAAAGGGGCTCCACAGCCCTGATTTGTGGGGTTTCCAGAGGTTGGGCCATGGTCTGTCTAACCACACAGATCTATTGCACAGATTTCTATTGCACAGATAGACACAGATGTCTATTGCACAGATTTGCCTAAAAATTAGCTAGCCCTCTCTGGGGGATGGAAAGTGAAATGGTGTGACCTGGCTTGCCAGCATGGGAAGGGCAGTAATGCTATTCCTGCCATCAGACAGGTATAGAAGACATACGTCATGTAGACATAGGACACAGACAGGAGGTTTTAACGTTCAATTAAAGATGAAAAATAGTATCTATCCCAACTTCTAGGGGCAGGCAGCCCCAGGGTTAGATGCTGTTCCATATTAACTCATGGTCTCTGCTTCTCCGAGTTTGTTCTTGCTGGTCTTTCCCCGTGCCTGGAGAGGGGACTTTTTGCCGGAGATGCTCTCAAGCACAGAGAGGTGCTGGGCTGAGCCACCCTGTTGGCCTCTTCTCCAGCATCTGCTGTGCTTGTCTCCTCAACCAGACATCTCTCCACGCAGGAAAGAGGGGACCTGCTGCCACCTCGTGGAGCCTCCCGAGCATCCCACACCGCTGCCATCAGGGAGGTTGTCACAGTCATTCCCTCCTCCATCACCTCCACGGGGGTGATGGAGACCATCCTCACACCTCCCAGCTTCTCTTTATAGGAAGCAGAATGTGGGGTTGGGGTGCTCGTTTCCATTTCCAGCCGCCCACCCTCACTCTCCCACCAGCGGCAGAGCTTCACACGTGGGCCTGAGCCTTCCCAACGCCTCCAGAGATGGGGCCTCGTACACAATTTCCTGGCCCAACATGCAAAAAGGTGACAGCAAGCTTTTAAAACACCTTTATCAGGTGTGGGCATGGGTCAGTCTTTGCCCAGGGGCTCGGTTTGAATTACCAGCACTGCGAAATGCTCTCCCTGCTCCAAAACACAACCCCCAGGTGGGCTGGATCATCTCCCTGCTCCAAAACACAACCCCCAGGTGGGCTGGATCATCTCCCTGCTCCAAAACACAACCCCCAGGTGGGCTGGATCATCTCCCTGCTCCAAAACACAACCCCCAGGTGGGCTGGATCATCTCCCTGCTCCAAAACACAACCCCCAGGTGGGCTGGATCATCTCCCTGCTCCAAAACACAACCCCCAGGTGGGCTGGATCATCTCCCTGCTCCAAAACACAACCCCCAGGTGGGCTGGATCATCTCCCTGCTCCAAAACACAACCCCCAGGTGGGCTGGATCATCTCCCTGCTCCAAAACACAACCCCCAGGTGGGCTGGATCATCTCCCTGCTCCAAAACACAACCCCCAGGTGGGCTGGATCATCTCCCTGCTCCAAAACACAACCCCCAGGTGGGCTGGATCATCTCCCTGCTCCAAAACACAGCCCCCAACCAGGCTGGATCATCTCCCTGCTCCAAAACACAACCCCCAGGTGGGCTGAATCATCTCCCTGCTCCAAAACACAACCCCTAGCTGGGCTGGATCATGTCCCTGCTCTGCCCAGGTCCTCCCCCGCGCCGTGGAGTGCCTGCAGCTGCAGGGGCACCCTCCCACAACCTGTCAGCAGCAGATAAGCACCCTCCAGCCCAGGCACACCACCACCCTGACCACCCACCAGTGGCTTCTTCTTCTTCTTTTCTACCACCTTCCCCTAACACCACCGCTGCCCGGGGAGAGAAGGCAGCACCAGGGGAGTGAGCTGGCAGCCAGCTCCCTCTCAGGAATCACTCACAAACAGCTTTTTGTGGGTGAGGAAGGGTTAATTTGTGCTTCTGCAAAATGACCTGAGCTGGGAAAGGCGCAATGGCTGCAGCTGCCCCTTGGGCACCCTCCTCTCCCACCACCACTGGTGTTTGGTCCAGGCTGCTCGGATGGCTGGGCAGGAGGAATGGGCTGCAGCTAACCCATGGTTGGCGGTTGGACTCGATGATCTGAAGGGTCCCTTCCAACCCAGACAATTCTATGACTCTATGAAATCCAGCTCTGGGCTCCCCATGGAGAGATTCCCACTCCCCACGCAGGAGGCAAGCACAGGGACACTGAATTTTTCCTTCCAAAGAGTTGATCTGCTACAGTCCCTCCTCCAGCTCATCTCAGAGACTTCCTTGGATTTGTCACGATATCCCAACCTTTGGCTTTCAGCGCTCAGGCTGAAGCTCTTTAGGAACACAGGCTGCACCATGCCAAACTGCAACAGTTTAGCAAGGATTAAGGGTTTGAGGATGGGTTGTTGTTTTGTTGTTGGTTTTTTTTAAATCCAACAGTGCTTGGATCAGTTCTTGGCCACTTGCCTCCGGGCTCCAAGTTATTAACCTTCTGTTTCAAATAACAAGCAAGAGAAATAAAGAGGGCAGAAAGCAGAGGTGGGGGGGGAGCATACATGCTGTATAGGAAAGAAGAGGGCAGTATCTCACACAATACATTTAACACACTGCTCATCATCATAATTAAAGCTTGCTGGGATAGGGGAAACACAACCCACCCAGAAGATGTGTGCTGATGACTTCCTCCGTAAACCGCTGCCTTGCTCGAGGTGCCCCCTCCTTTTGGAGAGGAGTGTACAGGAATTAGCCCCGAATTTCGGGTCAGTTTTGCATCTGTGGAAATGCCCGTGAGCTGGTTCCCACTTGCCCAGCGCAGGGCACCTCCACCTGGGTGTAGCTCCAGCTCCTGCCAGCCACCCTCCGGGACAGCTCAAGTCCTTAAATAGGAGAAGCTCAACACCCACAGCAATAAAGAGGAACAGCAGATTCCCAGCCCAGCACAACTGTATTAATCCAGAGGCGTATATTATGGAGCGTTTAACAGTTCTGTAAATACTGAACCTGTAGAAACCAGCATGAGGGCAAGGGCTAGTTAAATAACCTTTACCACCTCTGCTCCATAGAGTTTCCACAGTGCCACAGGCAGGCTGGATGCCCAGAAGACACAGCCCAGCTCCCCAGGAAGGCAGGCAAACAGGTCACAGCTTGGGAGTTACGGCAGTGGCAGCACAAATCAGGGGCCCACTATAAAAACCTGGGAGATCTCCGATGGGATAGGGGACCGTGCCTGGATTTCACAGGTCCGAACCCTAGGAACAAGAATTTCTTCATGAAAAAGCAGCAGGCTGGTAGCTACCTCACTGCACAGCAGCCCTCACAGCTCATCTCGGTGGAAGCTGGAACTGGCATCAAACCTACAAGACTGGACCCCAAGCAACAAGGGCTCCTGTGCTTGGAGCCAATTTTCACTTAAAAAAAAAAAAAAAAAAAGGGGGAGGGGGGGGCAAGAAAAGCAGAGCAGCCCACGGGCAGCAAACATCTCTAAAAATCCTTGTGCTTTTCATATTTCTACTCCTCGAGGGCAGCCCCTTGTTCAAACAGGCCCATAGCCCTCCAGAGCCTGTTCCCAGCAACCTTTGACTTAAAGTCAGCTCATTTAAAGAATTCAAATAATTTAAACTAAAGAATTTAAATTAAATAATTTAAAGTCGGCTAATCCTGTCCACCACATTATTAATTAGCTTGCAATGCCGTGACATGAGGTAAATATGTTATTGGCAGGCTCTCCTCTCTCTTTATCCCCACTTGTCCCCCAAATAAACAACAAAACCCCAAACCAAGCATTGCTGAAGCACAGGTGGAAGGTGTTAATTTCTTGTATTACCAGTACATGCTGCACAGACAGGAAAAACTTATCATCTGAAGAGAACATTATGGGAAAAAAACATTGAATTTCGTGGTCATTTGTGGGCTGGAAGTGATTTAAGAAATACCCAGTATAAATCATAGCTCCAAGAGACAGTTTCATTTTTCTCTGCAGTTCCACTTTTCTATTTCTGAGGTCTTTTGGGTTACAGCTGTGCCAGTTTTCCTGCGTTTCCAGATGCACAATACAGGCTGCTCACAGACACACAATAATAAACGAGCAGTTCTCCAAGAAAGCAAAACTATTTAGAAGAACACATGAAAGACTGGAAAGAAGAGAAACAAAACACAAGACACATTCAAAAAAGTTAACTTAAATCTTTTGGTTGGAGAACACTGAAGTTATCACAAACATTTGAGTTCCCATCAAGGATCAGAGTTTTAACTGCTCTATCTCAGCTTATTCAATGGAACTGGAAGACAGTCTGGTCATACCACCCTGCACAAGCCCTTTCCAGGTCTTACACTTGGTTTCTGGGCCTGATCTCCAGCAAGGAGTATAACAAGAGCTGGGATGCACCGAGTGAAAAGTCCTGCAGAGCTGCTTCTGTTTGCTCAGTGCAAGATAAAAAAAAAAAAAAGAAATGGCAGAAAGGAAAAAAACAACAAAGACATGGAAGAGCTTGTATTGTAAAATCAGTACAAGGCAACAGAACATGCACATTGGACATCAGTGACAAGCAGACAATATGGAAAGCAGAGAACAATAGGAGACAGGAAGAAACAAATAACACTCTGTGTGAAATTCTGTTCTGTGACACCTTGGTAAAGAACATCAACTTCAACCACGCTAAGATTTCACCTTCAGTACTTTAAATTAATCCATGTCTACTTTCTGCTACAGCATGGCTGGCCCAAAGCCTGGAGGCTTTCAGACTTGTAGACGGTGAATGAAAAACAAAAAAAAAGCTGAGAAGTCTCTACTTTTCTCCCTTCAAAGACACATTTCCCACACAAGCTGAGCAAAGCAGAGGCAAACACTGGAGGCCATTACACCACTAACGAGGCGAGTCCCCGACACAGTCAGCCAGGAAAGTGGTGCAGAGGTTGCTGTAGTAGGTGGGATACACCCGCATGTGGCTGACGTGAGCCGAATCTGAGAAGTCCACAGTTTTCACAGAGACACCGAGCTGCTGCCGGGCATCAGCCATGTGCTTCACATCGCTGGCCTTGATGATGGCATCAGCCTGGGAATAGAGGTAAAGCTCAGGCCACCGCGAGGGCGCTTTCAGCAGGGCATCGTAATGGCTCTCGTGGATGAAGCGGGTCAATGGGTACAGCAGGATCCGCAGCACAAAAGCTGTAGTGGCAAAAGCAAAAAAAAGGAAATACTTCAGCAGCACATTTGTGGATACCAAGACAGTTGCCAAGGCACGAAGGCTTCCTCTCAAGTTTCTTCTGCCGGGAGCACTATCAAAAATGGTGCCCGCTACTTTGAGGTTCTTAAATGGCTTGTGAGCGTGGAGCGCGTCAATGACGTAACGGTACAGCATGACACCACCATTGCTGAAAACGTGAAAAAGAATCGGTCTGTTTTCAACACTGTAGTCAAAGAGCAGGTCCAAGAGTCGCCTGGCTGGGGTCTGGAGAGATCTGATGCCAAAGCTCTCAGAGAAGAAGATCATCCTCCACGGAGCCGTGTAGCGGATGACGGTGCACCCCTAAGAAGAACAGAAAGAGACCACACACACAGTTACACTGGGCTGTAAATGACATGGAGTAGGCAAGCTTCAGTACAAAGAACATGAAAATTTGGGACAGGTTTCTAACAGAAACCACGGGGCCAGAAAAAAGTCTTTAGTGTCAGTAGCAAGGCACTGATACAAATAGGATCGTATTAATCATAACAGCACACGGTATTATGAAAAGGTTTCTGCAGTAGCAAAGGCCTGGGTTTGATGGTGTTTTGAGATCCTTTCAAATCATGTTCAAACTGCCACAGCCCCTGGGGACAGCCACCTAAGTTTTTATGAGTGTTAGTCTTCACCCAGGAAGAGAAAACTATCTCTCTGATTCACAAACCTGCACTATCAGCCATTTTGATAAAAAGGGCCTGCTCTGTTACACATCTAGTTGATGACACTGAAACAAACGTAAGAAGGAGGAAGACCTTTTTCCTGTCCTTAGGTAGCACTTGTTTGCAGCTGTCTCTAAGACTCACCCACAACCAACACTGACATGATTTTCATATGCCTTTCTAAAACACACCACTGGTTCAGAGATTCAGAGCGCCCAAGCAATTGCCTTTAGAGTTAAAGCCTTAAATTTAGGTGTAGATTGGGAAAAAAAATCTTGGAGGAGTTTCTGAATAGAGAAAATGGAACTGCCTTTATAAATGTAGGTTTAGATCTTCTCTATCACCTAAACTCACTGACATTACACACTGACAAACACAAAGGCTAGACACCAAGACAGCCCTCCCGCCCGGAGCTCCCAAAACAGTGCAAGAGGAAAAGCAGGGTATCAAGTTCTTAAATCAAAGTCTGCTATACCATCTTGCAAGGTAAACTTTTTCTCTTCTTTCCCATTCCTGTCACCTTTCTGAGGGAAAAGTATTTTTTAAGAAGTTGGCCTGCTGCCATGTAACATGCTCCTCATCTGATCAGCAGCATCTCTTAGTCACAACAGTCACTTAACAATTAATTGTTCACTAGAACTAGCCAATTCATTAGTCTTGCATGGGATTACATATTAACAATAGACTTGTTGATGTACAAACTTTGCCACCTATAACTGAAACAGATTTGGACAAATACAAGATCCTTTTATACTGACCAGAAAAAAAAAAAAAAAAAAAAAAAAAAAAAAAAGCCTAATTTAGTTTCACCGGGTCCCCATACTACAAGTTGGGGTCATTCCAGTAAAATACAGCATTAGAAAGCAAAACATCATAACTTAGGGAGCTAGCAATCGGACAAACCTTCCTAATTCAAAAACAAGGAGCTCCTAGTGAGCAGGTATGGCTATAATAGGATGTGATTCTGTGATGACTATAATAGGATGCCTGTCCGACAGACAGGATAAAATGAATTTGGATTAAAACATTTAGACGAATCATCTTCACAGGAAGGAAAAGCCAAAGGAACAACAGATGCTGACGTGTTCTGTCAGTCCCCAGCCTGACCCCACCAACTCTGTGCTGCGCCCTGTTAGCAAGCAGTAAATGCATAATCTTTCCCTGCACGCTCACCTGTTTGGAAAGCTAACACAGTTCACGTCACTCCTGAATAATCTCACAACTTTAAAAGCCTTAAAATATTCCAGTGATTCACACAACAGCAGAAAGTTTCTCCAAGGAAGTATTTTTGCCTCAGCTGCACACACAAAGATGACATCAGCAACTGTTAGATAATGCTGCCTGGGCTCCAAGAGACAAGGAGATTTCAATGACAAGAAAACTCACCACTCACTCCCAGTGACTCTCCAGACTGAAAGAGGCTTTAGAGCAATTTTACCAGCACGCAGAAACAGCAGCAGTTTTTCAGAGAACTGTGTGACAGTACCATGAAAATATAAATACGTTACTCACCTTCTGACTGTAGATTGCACTGTATTTGGCCAGGTATCTGTCCTGGCAACCTGCCCATCCTAGAAGGATCACCACAGGCTGACCGTCTGTACTGCTCTCTGAAACAAATCACGAGATTAAAAATAATTGCCCTCCAGTCTACCAGAATCAGAAGTTATGGCATCTTGCCTGGTTAATAAAGTTTAAAGGTAATGGTGAGGCAGGTTGCTCAGTCACCTATGAATATTGCCTCATCCCATTTCAGTATGTGGGCGTGCTCGGCAGGACAGCACAGTTTCAATCCCTGCAGCTCCCCAAAGCTCCCCACTGATGCAAAGCCAGCAGGGCGCTACGGGGGGGCAGAGACCCCCTCCTCATGCCTCCCCGGGAGCTGGGGAGGCCTCAGAGACTGCTGCCCACCTCCAGGGGGGAAAGGGAAGCGTCCTGCTCTGCCCTCCAGAAACTACCAGACACTTCGTACTTTGCAAGGGTCTCCACGGCTCTCTCCCCCCATACCCTGAGGGGTCCTCCAGGCCCGGTTGCCCCCAGTCACCCTGAGGGGTCCCCCAGGCCCGTTCTCCCCCCAACCACCCGCAGGGGTCCCTCACTCCCTGCTGTCATTGGGGTCCCTCGGGCTCTCCCGCCCCGCCCTTCACCCTCGGGGCCCTCCAGACCCGATCGCCCCCGCACCGCGGGCCTCCCCCGGCGCCAGCTCCACGACCGCCGCCTCCAGCCCGCGGGCCCCCATCGCCGCGCACTCCCGCCTGACACCCCACCGGCGCTTCCGCTCTCCCCACCGGAAGCTCCGCCCCCCGGCCCCCCCCGCAGCCAATGGGAAGGGAAAGCGCCCACCCCACCTCACTCCCCCTCCCTTTCCCGCCCCCCACTTCCTTAGCAACGCGCCCTTAGCACCCGGCCCCCGCTAGACGCCCTGCCCACTCGGGGTGGAAACTGGGCCACCCATTGGGTTGTGGGGGCAGAGGCGGGTCGCGATTGGTTCGGCTGCGGGGGTTGTTGGTCCAGAGGTGGGTGTTTGGGTCGGGGGGGGGGGACGCGGAGGCTGAGGTGGGCACTGGGGTCAGGGAGCGTGTGAGGGGCTGTAAATCCTGGGGTGGGGGGAAGGACAGGGCCTGTGGTTGACCTTATTGCTCTCTACAACTACCTGAAAGGAGGTTGTAGAGAGGTGGGGGTCGGTCTCTTTTCTCAAGTCACAGGCGACAGGACAAGAGGAAATGGCCTCAAGTTGCGCCAGGGGAGGTTCAGGCTGGATATTAGGAAAAATTTTTTCACTGAAAGGGTTATCAGACATTGGAATGGGCTGCCCAGGGAGGTGGTTGAGGCACCATCCCTGGAGGTGTTCAAAAGACGGGTTGATGAAGTGCTGGGAGGTATGGTTTAGTGATGATGCTCCTTGTTTGTTGTGCGGGTGTCTATTTTTGTCACTTAGGTTGATGGTTGGACAAGATGATCTTTAAGGTCCCTTCCAACCTAGAAGATTCTGTGATTCTGTGATGGGGTGGTTGGGCCTGGGAGAGGAGTGTTGAGGCTGCAGTAGATTAGGAGGAATAGGGGCTGGGGTGGATGTAGGGGTCAGTGCAGGCCCAGCTGGGGGTGGGAGGAGTGCAGGCTAGAGCTGGGGCTGGGAGGCAGGACACGTAGGTGAGAGAGGGGCCAGTGGGGCTGTGGGTTGATAGGGACTGGGTACACTGGGGAAGGTGCATCCTGTGTGAGGTGGGTTGCGGGGCCTTGAGGTATGCCAGGAGAGGGTGAAACCTGCTGGGGAAACAGAAACTCTAAGTTTTGCTTGATGCTGGGCACAACCTTGATATTGCAAGATGCAAAGGTAACACCAAATTACCATCACGCTGTCCTTCCATGAGTCCAAGGCTGTCAGTCCTTGACACTCGGACTGAGGCTGACACAGCACCAGTTTGCCTTTTGATCTTGATCTGATGATTTAGCAGAACTCTGGATGTAAAGAACTGCTGAATTGCCAGAGCCAGTTCCTAAATCACTTGTGTTTTTCTTGGCAGGAATAAAGCACTGCCCTGACCCAGCCTTGTTTTGATTATTAGGTCCAATGGACTGGGGTGGCAGCCCAGCACTGTTGAGAGCAGAGTCTGAAGCCAACAAACAGGAGTTATGTGCTGATACTAGCGCTGACAAACGACTCAGGGAAGTCATTTAACTTCCCTGTGTCTGTATGTTCCCATATGTAAAACAGTCATAATAAAAAATATTCATGTACATTTTTCAGGGTACTTGGCAATGTTGGCTTAAAGACTACTATGTCAGCAGATGCTGTGATTATAGCAGCCAGGGACAAATACCACCGTATTCTCAGAAGCCTCATGTGATCATTGTTTCAAACTCTTCCTTTTTCTGCCGTTGATTCATAGGCAAGCCCTCTGTATCACTAAAATCCTCACGTGCAGAGGCTGGTGCTGGTATTTCTGTATAGTGGGGGGTTGCTGCAGATTTATAATAAAAATACAATAGCATTACACCACCAGCATCTTAAACATAAATATGGAAACGCTAATTTAGAATCAATTTTGGGATGTTTCAGACTGTAAAGTTCTTTTAACTAGATCTCTGTTGAGGACAGAGGAGCACTTTATGGGACTGTAAATTTCATGCAAACGGTCTCCGTGAAATACAGATTCTCCCTACACACTAGCTGTTCCCTCCATATCAATCATATGCCTTGCAAGTAATGTTTCACAAATATTCTGTAAATCGCAGGAAAATGTTCGCAATAATGTGAAATATGACTTTCACTTGACTGTTTCACCAGAGGCCCCTAACAGGCCATTCTCCTGTCAGCACTAACATTTGTTATGGCTAATAACATTTTCAATCACAACTATTTTGGGAAAATGGATTTATTTTAAACCTGCTTCCCCGCAAAGGAGATCCTGCAAACGCCCTGCCAAGGACACAGACTCCTTACAGAGCACAGACCGTTAATTCCCAAATGAATTTTTATCTCATCTTAACTCTCAAATTTTTTTCTTAGCCAGCTTTTTGAAGACTTTGTTTGTTTGTTTGCAGGCACTGAGGTACATGTTCACCTCTTGGTCGTTGTTTTCAGTCTGGTTCAGATAACAGCAATAGAAAGTTACTTTTGAGCAGGTATTTTGGGTGTATTCTGGAACTGATACAGGATTTTGCTCCGGATTCTAGGAGAGAAGGCTTAAGTACTTCGTAGATAGGAAATTGGTAATCTTGGCAACTTGTATTATATTGAAAGAAAATTCTTATTTTGAAATCTAAAGATTTTGTGTCATTTTAACTTTTTTTTTTTTTTTTTTGCTTAAACCATGCTTTAAATAAAACCTAAAATGGTGCTTTTCTTAGGTAGGAAGTCCAGGAACTGTATTAGACAAGGTGTGAATTCCTTTCTTAACCTCAGGCATGATGATACAGCTGGGTGGAGGGCAACACACGTGTGTTAATGGAACTATCTGTGAGACCTTGTCCCCCTTTCTGCATCCGTGTCTGTACACAGATAGGGATGTTTAATCGTGAGGCTCCTTGAGACTGGTCAGTGTCTTAAAGCAGAACGCATACATGTCAGTGAAACTCTCACCTATGGAGCAGAGAGTTTAATCTTCTGACGTTTCATTCCCCTACTGAGTGGACCGTCACATTTGTCAAGCTGGAATAGGGGATATCATCCTCAGCCCAAAGCATGACAAAGAAATTTGGCAAAATATGGATTGCTTTATTTACCACTTCTGTGAAGGGACGGAAGGAAGTGGAGGCAAGGGATGTTTCTGGAGCTGCTGTTGTCTTCCCTATAGTTCTTATTATTTCGGGTTTTCTTAGATTGTTTAAAAACATGCCATAGAAAATAGATAAGAAAGAAACAGAGCAAACGTGTGTCAGGCCAAAGGGTCCTAAAGCGCTGTCCCAGTGCCAAGGCCGAGCACGTCTTCCTGGAGCGGATGTGGGCCCAGTCCAAATGTCGCTCTATCATGTGAGTGAGGGCATGATGCACTGCTGTGCTAACAGGCATTTACAGCCCCCTTGACCCTGTCACTCCCCATAAATCCATACCTATTTGTCCTCTCATTTCACCCTATTTACTCTCTGGCAGGTCAGATATGAGATGCAGTGCTCATATCATGAGGCTAGCGAGAAACCGAGGCTGGGGGAATGGGTGACATCAAAATGACTTTATTAACAGAGCAGAGAAGAGAGCTCCTGCAGTGAAACCACCTGCCCTCGAAAATAATCTCAAATCTGTTGCAGATTCATTGCGCAGCTTCAGACATACCAGGGACTCTCCTCTTGCCTCAGTCTTTTTATCTATGAAATGAGTATAATGGGAAACGAGATTAAGTTACTAGCCAGTAAGTGCTTTAATATTATTTGCCAGAGATTTTAAATGTGATTCTGGTGGTAATTCCTTAGACTTTTTTTATCTTCAAAGCCCTTTTTAAACTTCTTTCTCACTTTTTTTTCTAGGCAGAAGAGACCATGACTTCTGGCAAAGAGCAGGAAGCCATCAGGAAGCTGATGGTTTTCTTGCAGGAATGGGACAGTGCCCACAAAGTCGCTCGAAGTCACATCCTCAACAACTTCATTAGAAGCAATGATGGCAAGACAGAACCAGAGCTGGAGCTGGAGTTCTCCCAGGGAGCCAGCTTGTTTCTGGCTCGCCTAACAGCATGGCTCAGGATGACGTATCTGTTTCCGTGGGCAGGAGGAGGAGTATGGTAGTGGGAAAGGAAAGTTCTCTACCAAAAATTTGCTTAAAAAATAAGCTTCTGTGTGGAGGTGTCCATATCCAGCAGAGGGGAGGAAATGGCTATCTAAAAATGGAACTGAAGAGAATGTCATGTCTGTCAGGAAACTAGAATTAGTGGGTTTTTCTCATATTGGGATGAGCGTGGTGCCTCTGCACCTTTGTGAGAGGAAGGTCCGTGCTCTCTCGCAGAGACAGTACCCAGATCAGACCTCCACATTGCCAAAGGCAGCCTGGGGGACACCACGATGGTCTGTAAATCTCTCCTTAGCCTTGTCAAACAGCTACATGTACAGCACGTGCCTCAACAAGCTGCTCAAGTCCATTGGCATCTTCCTGTCTGCTGCGAGTGGGTGAGTATAGAATGTCACTGTGCGAGAGGCGCCCTGGGAAGGGCACACAAGGGCGAGGGGGTGATTAGATAAGAAAATAACAAGTCCTTGGTGGTCTTTTGGGAGGGCTGTGTAAGCAAGGTAGCCCCCACTGAGGCCTGTGGAAGGAATTCCAAATGCTCTCAAAACCAAATCCACTGCTTGTGCGTGTCCCCAGAGCCACCAGGTCACTGACACGATGTGGGAGAAGTGGGGTGAGAGCCTGAGTATGGAGACAGGGCTTTTTGTGCCTGTAGTTTGGTACCTGAAATGAGCACAGGGCAAAATGGGAGCTGGTGACCCGCTGGCAGCAAAGCAGAGCCTCCTTGTGTTCACTGCCCGGGCACCCACTGGAAGATGGGCTCCAAGGCAGGTGACACTTGTGGCTTTGTTCCCCCTATCCTTGCAGACGCAGATACATTATTGAATTTCTGGAGATCGGAGGTGTCTTGATTCTCCTGGAAATACTAGGGCTGAACCACCTGAACGAGGAGGACAAAAGGGAGTCTGTGAAGCTGCTGCAGCTCGTCGCAAACGCTGGCAGGAAGTACAAGGAGCTCATTTGTGAAAGCTACGGTAGGCGGCGTGTCCATCCACGCTTTTTCCTAATTTGGGCGAGGATGTTCTCCCTGACCTCTGCTTGCCACGGTCCCGTCCCCTCCACCGGCCGGGTGGCAGGTTGCTGCGGCGTTTGGCTGGCTAGAGGAGCTCAGGGCCTCGGCTGTCGTCGAGGAGTTGCATTTCATCCCCTCTCTCAGTTTTTAATGAGCTGCCTTTCTTTACAGTCACGTCTCTTGATGCAATATTGCTGTCCTGCTGGCTGCAACTGCTCCAGTTAAACCTCAAAACAGTTTCCATTCTTACCCACGGCATTCACCTACTGCAAACTTTCCCAAACTTCCCCTCTGGGGGTGGGAGGGTTTTGTGGCTCGTATCTTTTGAAAGAGCATTACAACGTATTTTTTTGTTCTCCTGGACAGCGAAAGCCAAACCCCGTTAGTTGTTCTGTTGTTCAGATGAGGGTGTCGGAGGCTGTGAGGCGATACCTGCCATCACAGCTTCCTCCAAGGGACACAAAGTGGCAGGATCTGCACAGGGATCTTTAGCAGCACTCTTGGCATCACACTCTGCTTGTGTAAATGCCCTCAGAAGGGCCTTGGCCACCTACTCCAGCTGAGAATTTTGCTGACTGGTTTTCTGGTTGGTGCTGTGGCTCCTGACAGGGCCAAAGAACCTTTTTCCTGGCTTCTGTTCTTTCAACTATGTTTCCAGTGGGACGTGGTGTTGGATTCTCTTGGGGTGTCAGTAAAACACATGAAATGTGTGGGGGTTGGTCTCTTCTCCCAAGTCACAGGCGACAGGACAAGAGGAAATGGCCTCAAGTTGCGCCAGGGGAGGTTCAGGCTGGATATTAGGAAAAATTTTGTCACCGAAAGGGTTATCAGCCATTGGAATGGGCTGCCCAGGGAGGTGGTTGAGGCACCATCCCTGGAGGTGTTCAAAAGACGGGTTGATGTAGTGCTGGGAGATATGGTTTAGTGATGGTGTTGCTTTTTGTTTGTTGTGTGGGTGTTTATTTTTGTCACAATTAGGTTGACAGTTGGACAAGATGATCCTTAAGGTCCCTTTCAACCTAGAAGATTCTGTGATTCTGTGAGATGGGTGATCCAGATTCATCCAGACACACGACTTGGTGTCTCTTTCTCTGCCCAGGGGTGCGATCCCTCGCCAACTTCTTGGCCACTTCCAGCTCAGCAGAGGCTCAAGAAGATGTGCAGGTTCTGCTGGACTCTTTGGGTCGCGGCAATCCCAAGTACCAGAAGCAAGTCTACAAAGGCCTTATCGCTGTGCTGCCCTGCGCCTCCCCCCGAGCCCAGCAGCTGGCTCTGCGGACACTCGTGGTCATGCAGGTGGGTGGTGGGTCTACCTGAGGGTGAGGGGCAGCCTTAGCTACCATGTCTGTCCTTCCTCCCCTGGCAGGAGCTAGGCCAGTTGGGGGTGTCGGGGGCTGCACTGGGCAGCCCCTGTGCCTAAAACAGGACAGCGTGGAGCAAGACTGTCCCTGTCACCCTGCCTCTTTGCCCCCAGGACGTGGTGGGAGAGGCGCCCTCCATACTGGTGGAGCCCCTGCTGAGCTTGCTGTGCTCGGTGCACCTGGAGGTCCAGTACGAAGGTAGGACCCATCCACCCGCCCTGGGTGGTGGCCGAGGGGAGGCTGCGGGAGGCTGGGGTGGCGGGGATGGACACTAGGGGAGAAGCTGCTCGTCCCATGCGGCTCCGGCGACACCGAACCCGCGGCGGGGGCGGAGTGGAGCAACAGCCCCCGCTCCCGCCGGGCTGCGGGTGTGCAGGCCGCTGAGCTCATTAGTATTCATTTATTTGCATACCCAGGGTGCACCGCGGAGCGGCGGCGCGGCCCCGGTAGAGCTGTCCGCCGCCGCTTCTCGGGGCCGCCCGGGGGCGGAGGTTGGGGTGCATTCATGTGCGGCTTTGGGGCGCCGGGGGGAGGGCGGGAGCGGCGGGGGTCGCCGTGTGCTGGGGGGAGACAACGGGGAGTGGGTCGGTGTGCGGGGAAAGCACCGGGCATACTCTGGTTTCTCTTCAGATCGTATAAATCTTTCGCCTTTTACTAAAGATTTCCGTGGAGAGGAACAAGCACGAGTGTCGTGTAATTTTTTGAGGCTCCATTTCGGTGGAGCTACCCCTTTTCTGGTGAAAAATAGAAAAACTATTGACAGTGCAGTGGGTGTACAGTACGCTTGTTGCCCGTCCTTATCTGTGTCCGCTGCGGCCTATCTCCGTCCCCCCGGCGGGGACGATGCGGCCCATGCCCGGCGGCGGTGCCTCCCTTCCCGCTGCCTCTCGCTCCGCCCCCGCCCGGTACAACAGACCGCCTCATTAGCATATCCATGGCTCTGATTAGCATACCCAGCGTGCAATGCGCGCAGCGCCGCGCCGGTCCTGCTGGTCACCGCTCGCCCCGGCGTGGCCGGTGGGCTCGGGCCGAGCCGGGGGTATCGGTAAGCCGCGGCGAACCGGTGTCCGGCCGGGTGGGGCGGCGGGGGCCGCGGTGGCGGTCGCCGTGTCCTATGGGGTGGCAGGCGGGGGTGGGTAGGTGTGCTTGAAGGCGTGTGAGGTATACTCTGGTTTCTCTTCAGATCGTATAAATCTTTCGCCTTTTACTAAAGATTTCCGTGGAGAGGAACAGGCACGAGTGTCGAGGAATTTTTTGAGGCTCCATTTCGGTGGAGCTATCCCTTTTCTGGTGAAAATTAGAATGAGAATTATGGGGGAATTTAAGGGGGAAAGTTTTATATATGTGGTGTGTGTCGGAGTGGCGGCAGCATCAGCGACCGCACACAACGAACACCTCCGCCTCATTAGTGTGTCTTGTTAGCAGGTGTCATTAGCATTCGGCTGATTTGCATACCCAAGGTGCACTGCGGCCGCCCCGCCTTGCCCTGACCCCGCCGATGTCCGGCGCCGCGACCGGTCCGAACCGTTCGGGTCGGCGGGGCCGGTCCGTCCGCCGTGGGGCCGGTCCGTCCGCGGTGGGGCCGCGGGCGGGCGGGGGGGCCCGTCGCCGTGACTTAAGGGGCGGTGGTAAGACGGGCGGGGTGCCGGGGACAATAATGGCGCTATACTCTGGTTTCTCTTCAGATCGTATAAATCTTTCGCCTTTTACTAAAGATTTCCGTGGAGAGGAACAAGCACGAGTGTCGTGGAATTTTTTGAGGCTCCATTTCGGTGGAGCTACCCATTGAGTGGTAAAAAGTAGAGTGAGATGTCGGTTGGTGACCGTTAAAACTGTTGATCCCTAACGGTCGGGCCATGGGGTGGTACCCGCTGCTGCCCCCTGCCTGCGCAGGCAGCCCCGCCGTGCCCTACCCGCGTGGCCGCCTCTCTCCCCGCACGCGGCCACACGCGAGCGCTGACCGCGGCCCCTCTCCCTCCCTCCCTGTCCGCCAGCCATCCAGCTGCTGAAGGCCCTCATGGCCCGCCAGGTGCGGCCGGCCCTGCTGAAGGGCCTGGTTGCCTTCCTGACGCCGCCCAAGGAGAAAGCGCTTACCTTCGGCGACCAGACGGCCAAAGGTAAGAGAGCTGACCGCGGCCTCCTGCCAGGGCGACCCGGGGGAGGCTGGTTGTTTGTCCCAAGCTCCCTCGCCTCCTTCTGCAGGGGAATTGCCCAGACTCGCGGGGGAGGAGCCGCAGGGGGGCTGTCCCCCGAGGCGAAGGCGAGGGGCACAGCGGCCAGGGCAGCCCGGGTCGAGGCAATGTGCAGGCTACTCCAGGCGTCCAGAGACCCTCTGAAGTCTGCTGTCTGCCGGTCGAGGATGATTAACCATTCCAGCCCCGGGTGTTTGCTCCCCTGACCCAGGAGAGCAGGTCGCAGCGGCCCAGGCTCTCTGAGATCATAGAATCAAAGAATCATTTAGGTTGGAAAAGACCCTTGGGATCATTGAGTCCAACCATCTACCCTACTCCACAAAGTTCTCCCCTACACCATATCCCCCACCACTCTTAAACACGTCCAGTGATGGTGACTCGACCACCTCCCTGGGCAGCCTGTTCCAATGCCTGACTACTCTTTCTATGAAAAACTCTTTCCTAATGTTCAGTTTAAACCTACCCTGTTGTAGCTTGAAGCCATTCCCTCTTATTCTATCATTAATTACCTGGGAGAAGAGACCAGCACCAAATGTGATGTGGTGGTGCTGCTGCAGGCATTGTGTGCACGTTTCCTTGTAGGGTGCCACAGTGCTTTCCTGAAAGACCTTTCATGCTAGTAGTATAACTGCATCTCCCCTCCGTTCTAAAATCGTAGAAGCATTTCAAAGCATCATTCTCACCTTCCTAATGTTCCTCATGCAGACCAAACCACGCTGTCCCCGAGGGAGCCCGTGCTGGTGGATATTCAGCAGGCAGCTGCTGCAAAAGCCATTGGGTAAGAAACTCTGGAGCAAAACCTACAGAAGCATAAAAGGGACCTTAGACAATTAACTTCCTTTGGGTAGGAAAGGACTGGGATGTGTTCCTCCCAGGGAGTGTTCACCCATTCACCTCTGGCACTGCTCTCTGGCTGAGTACCCCAGCTCAGCTGAGACTGCTGTCAGAGAGGCTGATGTACTTTAAGAAGGTAGAATGTACTTTTGAAAAAGCAAAATATATTTTAGGAGGTGGAATCTTCCACTAGGTAAGAAAAAAGAGCTGTAAAAAGGTCCCAAGGCCCTGTGAAACCAGACACTGGCTATAAACAATAAGTGCCTTGCTAATGAGTATACCCTTGAAAAGAACAGAAGGCTGATAATAAGGAACGTCCCACAACAGGAGGCACTGAAACTGTCTGAAAAGCAGAGAACTGCTGGATAAGGCATAAAGTCAACAGGAATTTGCAGGAACTGAGGGAGAGGTAAAGGTGGCAGTGGGAAATCCTGACCACCAACTCAATTGGAGGCTGAATTGGACTCCCCCGCCATGGTGCTGGAGCAAGTGCACATCAATTAAAGGACCTTGTAAACTTAAATGAAAGCGAGAAACTGTACTAACCAATAGACATTGTTAAGATAAGGTACTAACCAATAATTATAATTAAGGGTGTGTATTTCTGTGTTTTGAACCATATAAATATTCGTAAGAGTTTTTAGGCCGGTGTGCTGGCTTTGTGGATTGCCACCTAGCACCCATCTCTGCAGAAATGAAATAAATAGATAATACCTCTACCCTGTGTGTATATTGGCATCTACACACCAGGTAAGTGACCCCATCTTGGGACAGCAAGGCTGTGCGGAGTCAGGCAATGCTCAGGAATGGGGCAGAGCTGCTGCCTGCAGGTAGTAGTGCTCAGATCCTCCCAGCTTCTGACAATGGAGCTGGCGTGAACTTTTATTTATGTTTATTTTATTTATTTATGGCGTGAACTTTTATTTATTTATTTATTTGTGTCCCCTTTATGGCTGGGCCTGGAAGCAATGTGTGTGTGTCCTGCCACAGTTCGGGGCTGAAGGGTGCTCTTCTTCAGGTGAAAGTGCTCTGTTCTCCACATAGCTGGGAGCCACAGCAAGCAGTGAATCTCCCTTGTTTAACACCAGCCACCCAAGGGAAGAGTCTAGTGCCTATGATTGACTGCAGAATCCTTAAGGGAATTCAGCCGTTTGTGCTAGTTCATTCATTCAGTATGAATTTCCTGCAGTGTCCACAAGATAGTGCTATCAGAACACTTTTCCTGCAAAAGCAGATGACAGAAAGCCCTTGGTGAGTAGGGAGACATACTAGAGTATCTTCCAAGGGACATGCTCACAGAAGTAATGGTGGTGGGGTTTAAGTCCTGGGTTCTTCGTGGTCACACAAGAAACTTGCTAGACTTTAATACGCCCCAGAAAGCTCCTGCCAGTCATTAACCAATTTGTCCTCAGCAAGCCCACATGTTAAATGATTGCTAATCTACACACAACCAAACATTTCTTGTTTATTTTGAGACTCTCCTGTCTGTTGATGCCACTAGGACACGGTAGGAGCATGTCATTTTCCACTGGGGTCGCACCAAGAGGCCCAGACTCAATTTGTTGTGTGCTTCTGCCTCCACAGAGGGTAGGGGTTGATGGCCTATCTCATTGCAGCGTATTGGCCAAGGAGTCAGCAGACGTGGCTGAAGAGCTGATCCAGCTGAAAGCAGTACATGGCCTGATGGTTGCTGTGGGGAACCTGGACCATGCAGCCAGCCAGAGACACGCCAGCATCTCCCTGGAGGTGAGTGTGGTGGTACATGGTGGAGAACATCATAGCATGTGGTCTTCTTCCAGAGCAACTGAGCAGGAAGGGGTTTTTTTCTGAGCATATCCAGGCTTATCCACAAAGGCCGGAGCGACACTTCCTTCAGGAAAGAGCTGTATTTCCCCTTCTGTCTGCCTCCCTCCTGCCACCCACCACAAACAGAGCGCTGGGAAGCCCATGTTTGGCTCTCACACATCTGTTCTACCCCCATGCTTGCTGTGGGTAGTAAGCACAGAGCTAAGGGACTAACCAAGACAATTTGCCTGGAGCGATACACTAGCACAGAATTACAAGCAGGGTGGTGCTGGGTAAAGTTTTGGCCTGCCTTAGCACAGCTCTGCCTGTGCAACAGCTGCAGGGAAGGACCGTGCTGTCAGTAGATGGGAAGGCCTGTATGAGTGATGGCTGAGAACCAGGCTGCTCAGGGGGAAAAGGGTTTACAAACCTACCTCGTAATGCAGGGGGTCAGTGCACTCTTCCTCTGAGCAGGGTGAACTCCCTGGCAACTATTGCACTGCAATCATTTCACTGAAACACCCTCCCTCCTCTTGTCAGTGAAGGTGGGAGGTGGCACTAGGGGAGGGGGACAAGGTGAGTCTTGAGCAGGGACCCGCAAGTTCCTCTTGGTGTGTTTATGAAGTGCCATCAGTAGCACTGGCACGTGACACAGGTTACCTGGAGCCGTATTGTTCACGTAGCTCTACCCTCTGTGCACACACTCACATCCCTTCTCCCTACACACCAGCTCTCTGTTCTTTTGCAGTATTTTGTCCACACGTTTCCCTTGGTGGAAGAGAGTGTAAAGGCGGCACTAGGACCCACGCTGTTCCAGCGCTTTATGGTAAACATGCCTCCCTTATGGGGTTTCTTAGCAGCCCTAGGACCTTGCTCTGTTTTGCAGAGATGTAGGAACTGCATTTCTTTTCACATGAAACAGTATTGCATGAGAGTGCAGAATACAGCAAGCCACCCTTTCAGAAGTGTTCATCTTCAGTCACAGGGTTCAGGAAGATAATTGCTCTGACTCAGCCCCAAGACAGAACAAGAAGGGATCTCACGCTCCTGCTCCTGCTGTAACAGCAGGAACTTGTAGAGGTGTGCACTGAAGGGCCAAATGAGGCAAGAGGTGACTTCAACTCCCCCAAACTCTTGACTGTGGCTCCTGGGGTGGACATACAGAGAAATAACCAATGTTTGTTCCACCTCCTTTTCCTGGATGTAACAAGGGGTAACATTTCTTTCCTTGCACCCCAGAACATCCTTACTCACCCTAAGACACCACAGGGCAAAGCCAGATGATCAAAGTATAGTAACATGTGAAGTGGAACGGGAGGGCCTTGCTTTAGCCAAACTCATAACAGCCCTTTTACCCTGGCTATACCACCATAACATGATGCAGGCTGAGCCCAGGTACAAATCAGCTTTGACAGTTCAGAGGCCCTTAGAGTGCTCAGCTCCACATTGCTCCCAGTATCTAAGCAGTTGAACACAAAGTGCTCCAGCTGTGGGGGAGCATCCTGGTGGGGTTGAAGTATCCCTTCTCTCACTGCTTGGCATTGCCGCTTGCCCAAGTCCCCTTAAGATCCTAACTCTTTTCCTGCCTTTTCCAGGACAGTCCAGAGACCTGGTACACGAAAATGGATCCAGTCCAGGCTGAAGAACTGGCCTCCAACATAGTAGACAAGCCCAGAGACATGTCAAGGATGCAGTCCACAGAAGGTGCGTGCAGAGTTGGGGCACAGACACTTAAATTACACCCTTTACTTTCAAGGGGAAAAGGCAGCTCAGGAAGCAGGAGAGCAGGGTGGGGGGCCTAGGGAAAGGAGGAGTAGTGGTAGAAGGGTCCCTTTGTAATCCGATGTTTATATAGCTGCATCCTGTGTTGCTGCACCCAGAACTCACAGGGCTGTTTTGTCCTCTCAGAGACAAACCCTGGAGCAAGCTGAACAAACAGGAAACTGAGGGCAGCAACACATGCCTCCCATCTGTCCTCCCCCACCCTGCCCCTCTGCCTGTTCCTTCCCAGAGGACAGCTTGTGTGGGACCATCTGGACCCAGGTTGTACATAAGGGCCAGGGCAGCACCTTGCTGCACCTGAGCCAGTGACCAGCTTTGCACTTCTGCCCTCAAATACAGATTTCAATGGGCTGTTGACATGTATATTTTATGGGGCATGTTAACCATGGGAAATACATGTGAGAATAAGTGAAGTAACATCCTGGGGCTACCTTCAAAGCCTCAGTAAACACCAGTGGTACAAGGGAGCCTCATTGGGTCTTTCCTGCTTACCTGATATCTTAAGAGCTGAGGCACTCACTACAGGATGAGTTTAGTTCAGGTGCAGGATAGGTATCCTCTAAACCAGCTTCCCCCTTGCTAGGCAAGTTCTACTGAGCAGGATCTCAAAATTTATTTTGAGTGATTTTTATGTAAACAGTATAAGTGCGAAGACTTTAAGAAAGAACCTCATCCAAGAAATGAGCCTCTCTCTACAATACCAGCCAGTCTTCAAGGACTGTTAGACTTTACCAAAAATCACCAAGAAATGTATTTTATGTGATAGAAGATAATTAATTCCAGGAACATTTATTTATCAAAATTCTTAAAATTATGATTGTTTTTACAATTACATATAATCCATTTTCTTTCTAGAAAAGCCAGACTTGGCAACAGTTTTGCAAGTTTCAAGCACATCTGGAAAAGTTATATGCACACTAGAAAACTATACATGTGTATCTAGTTCTATTAGAAGAGACCATTGTCACTAGCAAAGGGCCAGATGCCACACACATCTAGCACGCTCTCAGCCCTCCCTCCCCAAGCCTTGCAGTGGGTGTTTCTAGTACTCTGAACACCCCGATACCAGACCATGAAGAGAGAGAGGCTGCCACGTTCACTGCCCTCAGGCACACATGACCCACAGACACTCTACCACATTTGAGAACAGGAGTTACACAAACCATTGACAAACATGCAAGACATACAGAAGATTGCTTGTGAACCAGGTTTTGCTGTATTTACTAACGCCTTTGCTGGCTCATCTGCTTGCTGGCTTGCTCCTCCAGTTGCATGGCAGCTCCCAGGGCATCCAATGTTTCTGTAAAGAAAGAGTGACAGGGTGACTGACCTGGGACCTGAACTCCCCAGCCCAGCTATCCCCTGTGCAAGGGCCACAGCAGGAAGTGAACCACAAGAAACACTCAGCCAACATCAGATCCTGCCTGGTCCCACAAAGCTCTTCAGCTGTTATTTGTTCATTGCTACTTATGAGCAGTTCAAGCCTGCAGCGTGCAATTCAAACTAGATGCCACTAATCCAGCCATCCCAGAGGAACAGATTTCCCTGGCCTATAAGGTAGAGAGGGTAGCAGGGCCTTTACTCTTGTTTTCTTGTCACCGCCCCTCCATGGTGAATGGAGGGATACAGCTATTGGGCTGCATTTGAAATGGGAGGACAGGGCTGTTTAAAAAAAAGTCACTACTTCAGGTTTTTATGCTACAATTTTCAGCCCCACTTGAAAAATGAAAACCCTCACAGCCCTGTTTTTGAGGCAAAAGCAGAAATTGCAATCAAAGCCCAAGTTATTGCAAGAGTGGCAGAAAAGTAGCCCTTACCGGTGTAGCTTCCCCTGTTCCTAGTCAGGCAGTCTAGGTACCTCAGGCGCTCTGCTACCATGTGTCAGCTGAGCTCATACATCTGCCTTGCTGCCTCCCTCTACCAGCACCACCAGAAGGAAGGGAGGTGGTGCTCTGGGAACAGGCAGCTGATACACTCCTGCACAGAGCTGGGAAGTCTCCAAACTGAGTCAGAACCAAACAGTTGGAGGGATTTTGTTGCACATTAAGTAGTGCCCTATGCTGGCAGACACAGCATCTCAGTATATGCCAGGCAGATGCTTGTTACAAGTGGATGGGCATTAAGACCTGATTTCCATGAAAACAGGAGCGGAAACAGGAGGTGTACCCCTATGAATCTCTAGAACATGGCACTGGGACCTATTTCCCAAAGTTTGTTTTTCTGGCCAAGTCAAAAGGCAAACTGTATAACCAACTAGCCAAAGGGACTTCAGCTCATCTGCTCTTGGTGGATACTGAATTCTGCTCAAGGGAAGGCAGTTCTATATGGCAGCACAAAGCAAGTGGAAGTTCAGAGCCAAAATGTTATTTTGGAAAGTGCAAACAATAGGACATTTCAGATCTGTCCCTGTGATCACGTAGAAAAGTGATCAGAACCATAACCTGTGCCAAAAGGCTGGGTGCCCAAACCCCCACAGGTATTGCCAGTGTTACCTTTGGGTCTTTGAAATAACATTAGTGACAGTGCTAGTCTGAGACAGGCACTAACATACCTCTAATGCTAAGGAAGTTTCTTGAGCTCTCCTCTACGAAGTACTTGGCTCTGTTCACAAAGATCTCAAGATCATAATCTGGTTGTTCTGTGATGCTCAAGAGGAAGTCAAATTCAGTCTGCATTCTCTGTATTTACAAAGATAACAGTGATGAGAAATTGATTTTTTGGAAATTCAATTAGTTTCTTCAATCTGGCACACCGGTCAACAGAGATGAGCTACTACAGACCAGTACCAGGCAGTGCTCATTAGCAGCAAGTAGAGGTTGCCAGTTGGAGGGGAAGGGGAACCAGCTGGCCACAAGCACTGAAACACTCCAGTTAAACCAGTTGGACAGGAAAACACAGGAAAAAGTTGTCAGTGAAGAAAAAGTAACACCACTGACAGCATCTTGTAGTACAGCCCAGAGCCTATCCAGCAGCACTTGGCTCAGACAGGTGATTGTAAAAGACAGACTGGGTTGGACTCGCCTCTTCCACATACCTGTCTCAGTTCTCTAAGCTGTTCTACAGCCTTCTCCTCTTGTTCAGCAATTTGAGTCAAAGCTTCACAGAAGTTGGACACGTGGGGAGAGATATCTTCCTCCTCATCCTTAGGGAGCTGCAAGAAACAGCCCAAGTAAGAACAGCAAGTCATTCCCAGCTTTGAGATCTGTTCAGCCCACTGCACACACATACATTGTAACCTGAGCCTTGTCCAACGGTCAGTGTTTCCTCAGTCTCCATCTGATTCTGTGCTTCACCACCTCCACTATGAGGGCTGAGCTCTTTCACTCTGCAACAAGAAGATTTGTCACTCAAACTCTCCTTCCAGCAGTTTCTGGGCTGCAGCATCACAAAACAACTCCTGCAATCACTGCAAGAGACATCTGGCTGCACTTAAGTAGTTGGACATTACCACCTCCAGAACAAGCTCACATGGGCAGAAACCCCAGAGGGCTGTGGGAAGGAAAGCCGAGAGATGTTTTGTCTTCATGTCCAATCTAGGACCTCTCTTGGAGAGAAATGTCAAACTGTCAGCAACGCCTTTCAAAGAAACTGTATTCCACATGTCAGCTTGATCTGTCTTGACCAACTAAGAGAATTTGGTATGGAAAGAAATTAGATAGGGTTGACTTTTCCCAGAAACCCACTGTGCTAGAACAGAATCATAGAATGGTCCAGGCCAGAAGGGACCTCCAAAGGTCATCTAGTCCGACCTCCCCGCAGTCAGCAGGGACATCTCCAACTAGACCAGGCTGCCCAGGGCCTCATCAAGCCTCACCTTGAATATCTCCAGGGATGGGGCCTCAACCACCTTCCTGGGCAACCTGTTCCAGTGCTCCACCACCCTCACAGTAAAGAGCTTTCTCCTAATCTCCAATCTAAATCTGCTCCCCTCCAGCTTAAAGCCATTGTCCCTCATCCTGTCACTGCAGGCCTTTCTAAACAGGCTCTCCCCAGCCTTCCTGTAGGCTCCCTTCAGGTACTGGAAGGCTGCTATTAGTTCTCCCCGGAGCCTCCTTTTCTTCAGGCTGCACAACCCCAGCTCCCTCAGCCTGTCCTTGTAGCAGAAGTGCTCCAATCCCCTGATCATCCTCGTGGCCCTCCTCTGGACCTGCTCCATCAGGTCCATATCCTTCCTATATTGAGGGCTCCAGACCTGCACACAAAACTCCAGGTGAGATCTCACCAGAGCAGAGTAAAGTGGCAGAATCACCTCTCTGGACCTGCTAGTAATGCATCTTTTGCCACAGCCCAGGATGTGATTGGTCTTCTGGGCTGCAAGGGCGCACTGCCTGCTCATGTCCAGCCTCTCGTCCACCAGCACCCCCAAGTCCCTTTCCTCAGGGCTGCTTTCTAATACCTCACCCCCCAGTCTGTACCGATGGCGAGGATTGTTCTGGCCCAGGTAAGATGTATATGGCCCAGGTAAGATGTATATATGTAATAGATCTATAATAGGTGCACCATGTGTACCAAGTGTACCATCTACTAGAGGTAGATTTCAGATACCAACTGGGCATTTCATTCCAGTTACTAGTATCAGCTTCATGTTTCCAGTGAGTTTCAGCCTAATGCCTCCTTTCCCATAGCTTGAACTTGCCTTGTGCGTTGGCTAAGAACCAGTGGGCCCAACTCAACACTAGAATCTCACAGAAGCACACTAAGATAATGAATTTTGTCCTGTACTTTCAGGTGAGCAGGAATGACTGTCTGCCAGGAGAAAAATTATTAAAAAAAAAAGCAACTTCAGTCCAGAACCAAATCTGGTAATCTGTCAAGATTCACAACATTCCTGAGTGCTTATGACAAGAATTACCATACATCCTTCAGAGAGTAGAATGTTTTCCAGAAAGGAACCACGCAGCCTTTTGTGAACTAAATGGAGGAAAGCTACCAAACCTGAAATGTGCAAGTGTCATCTTGTTAAGATATGACAAAAGTCAGTCTCCTTTTCATTTATCACCTCACCAGAGAGGTGTAGAGTCATGTAAAGCAGAGACTCACTGCTCTGTCAGGGCTTTCAAGTACTTCCAGGTACCCCAGGAAAACCTGGGGCTCAGTCCCTGCAAATCTACCTTGCCTGCAAGGTATCCAAGGTCAACCACAGGGCACTCAAAACACACAATCCCACCAACTACTTTGAGGCATTTGAGATCTCCAGGTCCTTCAGATTTTGTCCAAAGTCCCCAAGGTGCCATACCCTATTAGTTCATATCAAGGTCCACCAAGAACACCAAATGTTTTGTGTCATCTGTAGGGCCGTGTCAGGGGCACAATCTTAGCACACTGTTTACAAATAGGACCCAAAGTTTTACAAAAAAGTAAAGGGCATGGATGTGAACATTCAGGACAAGGTAAACTCCCTAGAAAACTCCCTAAAAAAACAGGGCAGTCCAAAGTCTAGCATGAGAGGAGACTCCTCCTCCAAGGAAAGGAGACATTAGTCACAGTTTAACACGATATATGTCTCACACAGAGAACTCCCGGGTTAGTTTCATAGACAGCTCTAAGATAATTTGCTACTAACAAACAACTTCCAAACTGCTATTACAGGCAGTGACAACAAAAACTTTTGGCCAGAATAAAAGCAGCCAAGACTCCTGCAAGAAGAGTAGAACGCTCAAGTCAGAAAGGCCATTACCTGTCAGCGTATCTCAGTGTGTTTAAGGTGTATTCACAGGAACTCATGCCTGGAGAAATCATTGCTATCTGCAAACAGAACAGAAGACCTCAGTGACTCCCAATATTTGACTTTTGCACAAGTTACTGGCCATACAGGTCTCACCAGGCAGCTGGGACATTTTAGGGCAAAGGGTCAGAATTAAGACATTCTGCCAAGTGCCTTTTTCTTTATAGCTTCTGCAGGACATGCCAGTGGCCCTGTGTCCAGCTTTCCACTGGCTTGGTGTGTACCCACTGCGCTGCACCCTCCACAGGAAGCAAAGCCCTTCAAGGGCACACCAGGCTCTACTATAGATTCACTGTCTGAAAGTAACTTCTGCAGTCCTGCTTCTACTGGGGCTGGGTAAAGCTCACCAGTTCTTGATCTCACTCACCATGGGAGAGTGGAAGAGGAAAACCTGTATGACTTTCAGAGAGCTGAAGCTTTCTGACTTCAAAGTCCCCTCAATCTAGAAGAGCGTGCAGCTCTTTGGTCAAACGGCAGAACCCATAAGCAGCGCACACATTTGTGCCACGTGCATACTCACCATGCAGGTCCTTGAGTTAGTTCCTATGAAGGAGTCTCTTAACACCTGGGTCAGCTTGCTCTCTCGGAAAGGGGTATGAGATTTGTTCTGCCCTAAAGCTCGGATACATTCCTAAGAAAAGACAAGCAAACGTGAGATGTGCATCTTTTCTCAAATGGTTTGCTGGTAAACACAACAGGCTGGAGAACGGTCATCTCTATTGCTCTATAAGTATTTCACAGCCTTTTAAATACACTCCAGGTATTTTGCTGTCACAGCACAGCTGGTATATCCATCATATATTGAAAAAAAAAACTAGTACAACTTGAATGAAGCTTGAAATGGCTGTACCAGTGTCTGGCTTGACAAGACTGCACTGCTTTCCTGGAAACATTCTAAATGGAAGTATACACCATTTTCAGGGTTGTTAACATACTAAACTGGGATTTTTTTTGGCTGTTCTTTTCCCTTGCACCGGAAAGAAACAGATAATGCCAGAGTTGAACAGAATCCACATGTTGATTAGTGCTATTTGTTCCCAGTGCTATAGCTCACCTTCAAAGCCAGCAAGCTCTTATTGATTTCTGCACCTTCCATTCGTGTCTGCCGATCAGCACTACAGGTGTCTGCACCCCTCTCGTTTCCTGCCAGATCCACCAAGGAAAATTTGCCAATCAGTTTCCCTCCTCGGCGCAGTATAATTTGGAAGCAGGCGTGTGACCGGGAAGAGCTAGCATTTGCAAAAGTCTGCCCAGATGTCCTACAGCAAAGACGTGAAGAATTAGAGCTGTGTCACACAAGACACAATGGGTGCTGACAGCACTAGACAAGACCTGCAGCCGTTCAATTAAGTTGTTTAACCTCCCTGTTTAATCCCACACACAAATACCTCAAGTTTGCATGAATTGTGAAATTACCTCCGATATAAGAGCACAGAAGGACTGCTGTGAGAAATAGGAATCTGCACTCCAGTTGTAGAGATTTAAGGCGATTTAACCCGCCTGCCTCAACTCAGCCAGCCTACACTAGAACACCTTTCTGACTGCTAATGCCTTAAATGCATTTGGAGCTGGAAGACATATCTTCAGCATTGCATCTGCCTGCCTCAGAGCAGGCCACATGTCATTTTCCTAATGCATCTGCCATGACATGGTGAGCTCAGCCAAGCTCCCCACTAAACAGCATTAGCTGTGCCAGCACATTACAATCAAGGTTAATTCCTTTCTCCAGCCAAGCTGGCCTGGCACTTTACCTCTGCTGTGCAACTGCACCTGCCCCATCACTGCAAGACACAGACCAGAGTCTTATAAGTTACTGTAAACCTCCCTGTGACCTTCCCTATCATTCCCTGAGAAGGCAGGCAGGTTCACTGTCCTATCTGCATCCTTACTGCTGGGGGAAAGGGAGGGAGGCCATCCTAAAATGAGGCAGGAGTCTGAAACGTTAAATAGCTCTTGGTTTAAACTGTCAGCTGAAAAAGCATGCACAGCAGAGTGCTGGATGCACATATCTCCACATACAGTGTAATACAGAAACCAAGGAGTTCTTACTTGCTTAGTAATGTTGCCACAGCAGTTGCAACTTAACTGAGACAGACAAGACTTGGAAATACCGATTTTAGCTTCTTGTTAAAGACACCAGAACAATATGGCAGAGTCACCCTGACCACAGCCTTCCTGCCATGATGGTGAGCCAAGCCTACAGCTGTCCCTTGGCACCTGCTCTCAAGGATTCTTTAAACAAGGTCCCTTTAGACATGCAGCAGTTTTGTTGCCACCAGAACAGCTCATCTGGGCTGCAGTTAAGCCAAAGCATTTTTGCAACTGTAGGTTGATGCCAGCAGCTCTTCTTTGATATTACAAGCCCACAGGGAGCAACATGCTCCTGTAAACTAGCTGATACTTCTAGAAAGCAATTAGACTGCTAAGTTTAGCTGTGACACCAGAGCAATCATCTCCTCATGTGAACAGTTTCTCTCTTCTTGGCATTAGATGAGGACACGTGAACCATGAACTCTGGTATTCTCTATAGAAGACAGGCTAAATCTATCCCTGTTAGCCCTTTATTCTGTAGCCACATTCTTTGCAGGTAGAGGTGCTGCTCAGTGCCTACCCATTACTCAGAACACTAAGCTCCTGTTTAAGTCTCAAAGCACCAGCTACAGACATTATGCATTGTTTGTAGACATGAAGGTACAACAGGACTTCACCCATTGGTTTTAAGACACCAAACCTGCTGGCAGTGCCTATCTCAATCATTTTGAAGACATCCTCAGCACAGTGGACTTTCTTCTCTTGGAGACCAACAACTTGGACCTGCTGCTTGCCATCCTCCAGGACTCGAAGCTTTGCCTTCTTATTCAAGAGGTCAAACACCTGTATTCAGGCAACAAGATTAAGGTAAATCTGAACAAAGTCTCCTTGTAAGTATTTTGTGCTGTCTTCGTAGAAAGTTGCATAGAAACAGCACCTTTATGTAGTCTTCCAGTTCAATTCCAAACATAGGAAGAATAGACCATACAGAACTATAGAAACAAGTAAGTTTCACCCAGCTGCTTATGAAACACTCAGCCAAAGAAGTCAGGTTAAGATTTTTAAAAGTCTTACCTTTCCATTGTATATTTCAAAGAAAGTCACATAGACTTCCAGGTTCTGACTCCTGTACCTGGGCTGGTTTAGGAGGAGGAAGACATCTTGTGCTAGCAAGGAAAGGCAGGAATTGAGTTAACTAGTTTAAAACTTGTTGTAGTTACTACTTGATCTACTTTCAAATATTGCACAGCCATAAGGCAGTGTTTAGCAGCTGACAGTCACCCTAAACACATGCTAGTGGAACAAGTAGTGCTGTGCTACCACCTGGAAAACAGTTCCAGCAGCATCCTCATCCAGGGACTGAAACCACAGAGGGATATGGAGGTTCCTACTGCTGATGTCACCTGCAGACAGCAATCCTTACTGATCTGGGGGAACACTGGGATCTGCTATTATTTTGGACAGGCCTGAAAGAGTCGTGCGTTTGTGTTTCAAGCAATTCTTGTGGAAAGCCTAGAAAACATGCATCCCTGAGCATCTGCACTGCTGCTGATTGGAGAAAAAAATACCAGATTAGTTGACCCTTTGGCTGGATCCAGTGCAGCTTCTCACAGTTAGGCATCAGATAGTGAAATTTAGCTGAAAAGCAAAGACTTTCCTTCGGGGCCAGTCATAACTAGTTTTCAGAGACTGGCAAACTGGTTCTTGTTTCAGCTGCCTTCCTACACACACTAGTTTCACAATATGCCTTTCTAAAGGGAAGGTAGAGGAGGTCAGAGTTTGTGGTGCTTTCTAGGCATTAGATGAAGGAGGGGCTTCTAAGCATCTGTTTTCTTAAATAATTTTGTATGTGCTTGGTTTTTTGCATCTAATGCTTATAAGAAGAAACATAACACAAACATTTGTGTGCTTTCTGAATAACAAGCTTTATATGAGAAATGGGTAGGGTTGTGTTGTATTCAGGTCAGGTATTGCCAAACACCATCCTTAGCTCAAGACAAAAATAAAGAAGAAGAATGAAAAGTAAATGGCTTGGCCCAGCAAATGACAAACTAGAAAATGTGTCATCTCTCTGCCTCAAAACCAAATATCTTCTGGTGAGTTAAGTGTGAATCTAGAAAGTTACACACTAGAAAGTATTTTGTGAAACCGATAAAAAAATAATCATGCCTCCTGCAAACACCACTACTTATTACTGAAAATACAAATACTTTATGTATCCCTTACTGAAAACATTTTAAATAACCATACAAAACCAGATCTTACTTATTTAAGAGAAACAAGCACTAATATGATTTTTGTATCTGAAGAAGAATCGACTTACATGCAAAAGCATATATGCCCTTTGAGGCATTCTGTACTCTCCCAGAGAAGTCTCCACCCATAGTCTGTGCAGAGAAAAGCCAGAGGTGAGGTGTGGTGCAAACAAGTCAGGCTACCTGATTTTAGTTTTGAGAACATACTAGGAAGTTACCATACATATATATGCTCTGATGTCAATGAGATGATTAGAACAGAGCGCAATCCAGGATAAAATGAGTTTGCTGCTTCCCCATCAGCTCAGAAAGATCTGGACTATGCAAAGCAACAGCTGAACACCTGTTGGCTCTGCAGTGCAGAGGCAAAACATTTTTGCTTCCAGGGAAAATGCACGGCCTTGACAGTGCAACCAAACAGCCTCTGGTCAGAAGCAGCAATGCCTCATTTTTTAGGATGCAGGCTGAGCAACATTTTCACTATTTGCAAAAGCTCAAGTGTGTAGTATCAAAATGCATCAAACTTCTAGAGCAGACAATACCTTTATCTCCTTTGACTAAGATACCTTTAATCTCAATAAAGCTTCCAGTTGGTGCTGTTCTGGTGACTTTCTCTACCACTTTTGTAAGAAATAGTCAATTACTTGAAACACAACTCAATACCATGATACACTCTGAATCTACCAGATTACAGCACTCCAGACTCAAGGTACAGCTATTGTCCTCACACTAGATCTGCACCCTGGGATCAGGAAAATAAAGTACCTCACTGCTTATGATTTTAGTGCCTCAGTTGTATTCTTGTGGTGATGCTCAGATGAGCAGGTGTGTCTGCCCATTCCAGTGCAATGGAGGCAGCCTATGTCCAAACTTCCGTAAACTTCCAAGTTTCCTTCTGGATTACTGGAAGAGATCTACAGCTCACTCCATAGCACTAATGATAGGAGATCCTCACCTAAAACTTGCCTCAAACACTGGAATGACAGCAACTGTCTGATTACTCGAACTGGCAGGCTAGCCTAGTTCACTCCAGATCACTGTGGTTTGAGGTAGAGGTTTCTTACAGAATAAGAAGGCAGCAGGTTACTCATTGTCAACATCAAGGAGCTTTAAAATACTTTATCTAAAGCTAGAAAACTGAAGACCTTGGAGAAAGACTTACATGTGTCTTGCCACTGCCTGTCTGGCCATATGCAAAGCATGTCGCCTTCCCACCCTCAAAGATGGTCTCTACAAGAGGTCTAGCAGTGAACCTGGATATTCAGAAGATAAAGAGACAATTAAGGCAAGCATTTCACACCCTGCTTCATCAGTTTTCATTAAAAAAAAAAAAAGGCACATAAAAGCAAATCCTTAGGAAATCAGCAAGGCCATGCCAAAAACAAGCTTTAGACTCATCAGTCCGTTGGTTTCCTCCAAAAGGGATTTTAATATTTATTTCAGGTAGCAGTTTCTTTAAGCCAAGATGCCATCTAGCCATAGCTCCATGCTTTTATCTTGAAAGTCATTCTCCATGAGAAGAAAGAATTACCTGTATACCATTTCATTAGAAGAGGATTCATCAAAGGAAAAGTCAAATCTAAATGCTTGGGTTTCAAGGTATTTTGTTAGGTCCACTTTGTGCTTTGGCTCATGCACCAGCAGGACACACTTGCTCGGGACAGTAATCACATCACATTCCTTTTTTAGAAGTTCTGTTGACAGAAAAGACCCTCAGTTTTAACAAGAATAGGCAAAGTCAAACTACTGCAGGACAGAGCTGCTTTGTCAGTACACTCACCTTGTTTATTAAGAGGGCGCTTTCTCACACAGACACAAATCCTATGTTCTTCCATCTAAAAGAAAAGAAAACGAGTAGCAACTATTTCCCAATTAGACCTCCACCTATTTAGCATTAGATGTGAGGGAGCATTGGATTGTTCTGTAGTTTTCTATATGCTGATCAGAGTAGCCTTTGTAGACCCAGTCATGCAGGGATTAAGCCCTAAAAAGGGGAGGTAAGTGATCTCACTTATACCATAAGTATACCATAAAACATACACCACCAGGTACCTCAAGACCACAAAACACTGAAAGGGTTTCCAAAGCGCAGTGATGCACTAAATTGCTCATACACTAAAACCTTCAGTACAAAATGAAGTAGTCTGTCTACAAGCTGCAGTTAGTAGCCTCAGTATTTACTTACCGGGTCAGCTATAGATATTGGCCGGCAGTCTAAAGTTGCTCTGAATTCCTTGATCATCTGTGCAAACTCCCAGTTTGGACAGCTAGTGTCAAATTCCTGCGTGGAAAAGCCATGGATGGTTACAGCAAGAAAGCCCCAGAGCATACTAAACAATCAGCTGTACACCATTAGAACTATTTCACTTAAAGGCCACAAGATTCAGAACTTTCTGACTCTAGGATCAATCCATCCTTATGAACAGCTTCATAAGAACAAAGCCTGTCCAAAATGTTTTAGTTTCAACTATTGCAATGCACTACCCTACAGGATTTCCCCCCTTACTGGTATATTATAGACTACTCCACCTGTGCTTGTTTTGCCCTGATTTCATTCATTTGAGCTCTCTTTTCTTCTCTCTTGTTTTTCATTTTCTCCATCTCTCTCACAAGGTTAGTTCTTCTCCGAACTAGATAAAATAAAAAAAACCTAGTATGAAAGTTTAATCCAAGGTAATGAAGCACAACACAAATATTTCAGCTTTTCCAGATTGCTGACAGACTTACTTGTACAGGAAACAATCTGCAGAAGGACGGTCATTAACTTTGTGGCACTTCCTTCCCAAACCAGACCTACCTACCACAGAAACTGCCTAGCAAGCCTCACTACCACTCTAAAGTAAAGGCAGCATTTCTGAGGAGACACTGCTTTAACAGAATTACACGTTTGTAACAAAAAAAATGCTCAAGATATTCAGTCTTACTGCCAAAGCCACCTTTTCAAAGCTTCAGCCTCAGCATATGCAAAGCAGCAGTCACCCGGTGATGGGTTGCTGACTGGTGAGTCAGTTCTTACCCACTGCTCCCTGGTACCTGGGCTCACTGAAGCAGTTGTTCCAGCAGCGGGCAGATGGTCCTCTGTATTGGTATTTCCATTTGTCAGCAAAACTTCTGGACCACAGACCAGCCTGCTAGCCCTGGTTCGACCAACTGAAGAAAGAAGCCAGACCAAAACCACTAATTAGATCCCAAAGATCAAGAATGGTTTTCTGATTTGTAAAGCCTCACAGACCACAGGCATCCATCAACCCAGTTTCTGGATCGGGAGAGAGAACAAGCTAAAACCTGCGGTAAACGTGCAAATTTTTTTTCTTTAATCCTTTGCTGATCACCAAGTTTTATTCAAAGCTACAAACCAAGGCCACACTGACTAGAGAAGAATTTAGTATCAAGCCTCTTATTTCAATATCTTCGCAGAACTTAATACACAAGGCAGCTTCAACTATTCATAGGGTAGGTCTGGTAAAGATAAATAACTACAGTTTCATAATTCAAGTAGGCCCTAGTTCTTGCCTTATTCAACCAGTTCTGGTAAAATTACTGTCAGTCTAGCTACAGAGTGTCTTGTAAGCAATATTAAGTCACTTCTCTTCCCACTCTGTGAATACCACTTCAGGCTGTTAAGCAGATACCTCATCCATCCACAAGCACAACCACAGCTCTCTGGCTAATAATGTTGTTGAATAATAATGTGTTTTGTTTCCCAGGTCCTTTGAGAACTCTTTCAGGTAGAAGCCCTGGATGTTTGCATAGTGCCAGACCTCTAGGTCCCTCCTGTTTTATCTATGAAGAGGTAGCAGTTGCTCCTTCCCCCCAGGGATTTGCATTTTACCTAATTAAATGCATACAAAGCATCTTGCCTCATAGTAAGAATTCACTGGGTTCTTTCTCCACTCACCAGGAACTGACAAATTGCTTCTGGTTTCTGGTTTAGTAGAAGTACGGGGATCTATCTCCATCTCATTTTCCTGGAGGCGGCACTCAAACTCTGAGATAACAGTCATCCTGGAACGGCCCCGAACAGCTTTGGAAACATGAATTCAAGGTCAGCATCACAGCTCAGACATTCACAAGTAATCGAGTGCTCACAAAGTGCAGAATGGTGGGAAACAAGGTGTGGTTAAAAAGACCATTTCCAGTTCTCTGATGCACTAGCAAAGCACAAGACAAAGCAACACAGGTGGGTGAAAAGTGATCATGAAATACAGCACTACAGAAAAGCAAGCAGTTCCAGTGAATTTATCTCAGATACCCCTAAGGATTCACTAAAAGGGCAGTTCCAGAACCTTAATAGCTAGGAAGGAGGCAGTTACAAGTCAGGGAACTAGAAAATCCTCTGAAGCATCACTCTTGCAGAGCTGTGTGAATTAACTGTTTGATGGTGACAGCAGTACTGCAATCTGGTCACGAGCAGCTTTATGGCCACCATCACAGCACCTATGCACAGTATGCACGGTGCACAGTGGAGTGGGAGCTTGGTAACACTAAATTCAGCTGAAAGACTCTATATAATCACAACAGCAAATCTTTGGAAAGGCTCCTTTTGAGGGCAGTCTCCATTGTCACACGCCCAGGTATATTTCTTTCTCTGAGACCAAGTCTCTCACAAAGCTGTCTGGGGAAGGGGTTGGACCATACACCTCAATTGATTTATGAAGAAAACAAATATAAAGAAAGCAAATCTGATATGGGAAAGAAAAAAGTGTGATATGAAAGCTAGAACTACTGTCATCTCATCTCCAACAATCACAAGAATTTATCCAGAATTAATCACTATGATTTTAAAGGACGTGATATTTTATCAGCGCGATGGTTAACTTTAGTTCTGGATCAAATTCCTGGCAACTGTGCCCACAAAATTCAGTGCTTGCATCTGTTAACTCTTTAACTGGAATCTTCTGCTCAGGTGCAGAGACAATAGGTGTCACTGCTGCAAACTGCACCGTTTAAGAAGAAAAAGCATCTCATTTCAGAAATGGCATTTTATCCCATTTACTTTTGTGGCACGTGCCCAGACCCAATTGCATCACAAACTCGGCAGCACTCCTGATAGACAGCCCCTGGACAGGCAGGATTTGCTGCATCTCAATGGGTTTGATTCAAGTGTTTCTAGTACATAAGGATATTCAGCACCCTCCAAAAATCTTATTGACGCAGAGGACTGAGCCAATACCTGTTTTTTAATTCATTCTGAAAGCACTGCTTCTGCTTCTCTCGCTTTCCTGGACAAGATGTAGACAGACTAAATAAATTAAAGATGACCAGGAGGTATCTAAGAACCAAAACCTGAAGCCAGTGTTGGTTTTCTAATGAGTATGCAACAGGACAGATACTCACTGACACTCAAAGGGTTTAGCTGGCTATAACAACTGATAATAATATCTGAGGAATAACAAAAACACTGCTTCTCTGAGCAGGTCTTCAGGGACAACATGCCAATAGGAAAGGCAACAGATATTTCAGATTCGCAATTAGATTCTATACTTCAGGAAAGCCTTGACCTCAGTGAGGACATTTTTCCATCCATCAGTGACTGGATTATTAAAACACTTTCATTTTTCCAGCTGGTTATCCAGCTCCATGAACTGACCTGTCTAGAAACAGTCACAACTTTACCAAATCATTTTGCTTGCCTATTCACAAAATGTATGGAGAGTTCCCCAGATTTGAAGATCAGAATGCTCTAGTACAGAACTTTTGACATATTAAACTTCTTTGACTACTCCTGCCTCTCTGATGCGAGGCAATTTGTACTGTTTGCTTCTGGTACCAGTTTCCCTGTCTTGCATCACATACCACAAAGAGGCCAGACAGGCTCAGCTGTTTTGTTTACAGCTCAGTTGCATGGAAAAGCACCAGTTCTGGCTAACTATGCACTTTAAGAGAATCATTAAATTCACAACTTCAGCATCACACAAGTATATTACAAACAGACCTGTAAAGCTGCCACTTGCAATTCAAAAAGCCAAAAGAGTCCACTAATAAGCTAAAAGAACATAGGGAGTTTTCTAACTCCTGATACCTCAAAAACAATTCCTTTGCAATCCCACACTCTGACATCTCTATTTTCTCTTCTGACTCTGCTCAAAACATTGCACTGACACACATTCACTGAGCTATGGCACACCACCTGGCACTTTGCCTGCCTGGTCTGGAATTTTCCAAGGACAAAGCTCTAGTTATTGTCTAGAGGGACTGTTTGAAGAGGAGACATCCATTTGTCACTGCTATTTCTTTCCTGCCCTTTCCACTCTCATTTTGACACTTTTAATCTTAATAACTGCCACTTACCTTTTGTCATTTGTGGCATTTGCAAAACTCCATACAAAACATTAAAACTCACTGCAACAGTAACTGCCTAGTGACATTTAAAGCAGTCTCAAGGAACAACTACAGCAACGCTGCAGAAAAGGGCAGCGCATCAACAAACCCCAGCTCACAGGAACAGGACAGCAATCTGTTAGCAAAGTTTCTGCACTCAAGAGTCAGAATATTGGTGTGAAATGGTACAGTCTTTATTAGCATTGCCTGAATGAGCAGCCTTACAATGTGCTAGAGTATTATGGCTACAGTGAAAGACCACCACTGATTGGCAGGGATATAGCAGAGAGAAGAACATTTTCTCACCTTCCCGTGGAGCAGGAATTTTTGAAAGGCTTGTTCTACACCTCTGTTTCTGAAAAACAATGAATGCTGTAAGTAACCAGAGTAAGCTGCAAACACTCAGCACAGCACTTCAAGACAACATGGATACAACAAGGATTTTTCTGACCAAAGCCTGACTATAAGACAGAAATGATAAGTTAGAGACCTCAAATTTTAAGATTGAAAGTATTATTTATAACAAGACCTGTGCTGTTGACACTTTAATAACTTAGGAAAGACTAGATCCCTTTAAAGCACTTACCTGTACGATAACATTCGCTTGCAAAGGAAGGTTCTCTTTCACATCTACAGGAGGTAGTTCTTCTGCTAACTCAGGATTTACTGTTATCACATCACTAAAGTCAATCTACAAGAACAAAGGCAGGATTTTAAAGAGTGGAATATTGCTGCTACCACTTACAGTATTATTTTTTTTTAACTGACCTTGACTTTAAGTAGAAGCAAACAAACCTGACCCACTAACTGCCAAACATTAAATTAAAATTGCCTGGAAGGGCAAGACAGTAGTTCACGATCTGTTTGAGTAGTTTCATATGCCCAAATACGCTAGAATAAATGTGCTGGCTGAGCCATTTACCCTTTTTTGCCAAACACCACACAGCTCTGCAGGTACCACAGAGCACTTCCGAAGAGATGGACAAACCACATTTTGCATCAACCGCTTTAATCTCTTACTGCTAATCTTAGTAAATCTCATCTGTTCTGTGACTTCTGTGCTGGGAGAGCATTAAGCGTTTAGTGTGCGACTGTGCTTACTGAAATAAACTGCAAAGAGCTGCTTACACTTTGGGAAATGAGAGATCCATCATTTAATCCAGAAGTCGATTCACCTGCATTTGTTTCACTTGTTGCTGAAGCCATTTCATCTAGGGCCAGTTACAGCCTCCTGCCTGACCCTCCAGTGAAGTCATAATCCTGCCTTCAGCACGTTCTACGGCACAGCGGTGCAGGCAGCCGCAGGGCTGGGGGAGTGACACCGAGGGCAGGCAGCCAAAGACAGGCTCCAGCACAAAACACAACATCTCAGTTCAGTTTCTCAAACTGAGCACCACAGAAGAGTTTGAAAGCGCACGTACATGAACCCTGGTATCACAGCAGCTTGTGCTGGAATTCACCTAACAAAGCAACACAAGCTCCAGGAAGTTCTTGAGCTCCCAATTAACTTTTAAATTCCTTAAATGAAATAAGGGTGCATTAAAAGAGCAAAAAAAAAAGTAGGTGAGCCTCTATAAAATGTGGAGATACAAGACTCTAGTGTCAGAGAAGTAATTATAACATTTGTATGGAATCTGTAAGCATCTAATTGGAATGTTAATTAGCTCAAACACATATATGTGGGCAGTATAATATGTAAATATGAATAAGTGTATATAGACTGTGTATAAATAAGTGTATAGGAAACATGCTAGACATTGAAACACCTTCATAAATATTTAATATCATAACACATACATGCAATTTAGCCAGCAGTTATAGCTAAATCTGCACATTTCACATAATTGACTGCAGCACGCACATGAACAGTATAAGCTCTACTTTCAAAGAACCCTTCAATAGCAACTTTAAGACTTTAACTAAACTCTACAGCATACATGTTTCCAGAGAAACCAGCAGAGCAAGCACATTCGCTCAGTTACCAAAGGAGATTTTTGTTAAGTGTCAGGATTTCAGCCATATCAACCTCAAACGCCCCAGGCTCTCCCCACCCCAACCTCATCTCTCACAGTATTTTATTTCACACCAGCGCAGAGATTCAGGAAATCAACCTCAGCCCTCTTGATGTGGCACCTTGAGTCTTAAGGAAAGCTTGATAGCCACGAAAAGCCACGAAAAGCCACGAAAAGCCACGAAAAGCCACGAAAAGCCACACCCCAGAGCTGGGGAAATGGGGACTTGGGGACACTCAAAGCCAACCCCCAGCGTAAGGGGGAGACCCAGCCACCCCCTTGTTCATCCCAAGAGGTTGAGCACCCTGACTTAGCTGTGTGAAGGTAAGAAGGGAAAGTGGCTACAGCAGAGCAAAGCCATTTCATCACTTTAACGATGCAGAATGTTAAACGAGCAGAGAAGTGAAGCAGCTGCCCGCACATAGGGTGCAGAACCCCCCTGGGGCTGCGGCCCGAGCAGAGCCGGGGAGGAGGCCCACACTCACCTCCTTCCCCTTGACGGAACCGTCCTCGGGCCACTCCACCGCCACGGAGGCTTTCTCCACGTTCACTGACATCACCGTCGCTTTATGGATCGAGCCTGGAAGAGCCCAGCGTTAAGACCAGGCCCGGTCCAACCGGCCCCATGGGGCCGAGGACACCCCCCCACACACAGGGCCTAGAGCCGTCCCCCCACACCCTCCTCACCGCTGCTCCGCTGAATGTTAATAACGGTGCCAGGGACGATGTGGCGGCAGAGACGGGAATCCATGGTGGCTCGATGGTGGCGGCAACGCAGCCTCCCGTCCCGGTCAACCGCCGCCTATATTTAAACCCCGCGCGTAGCCGTGCGTGCCGCGGGGCCTACCGGGAAAGCACGCTGGGCCGGGACTACATCTCTCGGCACGCTCTGCGCGAGCGGCCGCCTACAGCTCCCAGCGTGCTCCGAGGTCGGCGGGATAAGGCAGGTGGGGGGCGAAGGGTACGCTGGGAGTTGTAGTTCGGCCGCGCAGCGAGAAACCACCCAAATAAATAAAAAATTGTTGTAATTCATCTGTTTTTACCAGTAAAGGGGTAGCTCCACCGAAATGGAGCCTCAAAAAATTACACGACACTCGTGCTTGTTCCTCTCCACGGAAACCTTTATTAAAAGGCGACAGATTTATACGATCTCAAGAGAAACCAGAGTATGCCCTGTGTTCTCCCCGCGCACCGACCCACTCCCCGTTGTCTCCCCCCAACACACGGCGATCCCCGCCGCTCCCCGCTCGCCCCGCGCCGAAACCTTCTCCCGTCGCCGGTCCCACCGCTGGGCCACCGGCTCCGCCGGTCCGCACCGTAAGAACCGGCAACGGAGCAAACAAACGGGGGAATTCGGTGGGCGAGGCCGCGGTGCACCCTGGGTATGCAAATGAGCAGGATGCTAATGAACACAGCCCAATGGGTGTGCGATGGCCGCCGTGCCGGTTCAGCGCTGCCGCCGGTCCCGGAGCGGATCCCAGTTCAAACGGGTCTTGTGGCTCCCTGACCCGGCTCGGCTCGGCCCCAGCCGGCAACCGGGACCGCGCAGCCACACACACCACCCCCCTCCCAGCCGGTGGGATACGGAAAGAATGGGGAAAAACGAGGAAAACTTGTGGATTGAGATAAAGGCAGTTTAGTAAATCAGGCAAAAGCCGTGCGTGAGGAAAGGAAACCCGGGAATTCACCGGTTCACACAAGGGTTCAGGTTGGAGGGACCTTAAGGATCATGGAGTTCAACCCCCCTGCCATGGGCAGGGACACCTCCCACCAGAGCAGGTTGCTCCAAGCCCCATCCAGCCTGGCCTTGAACACCTCCGGGGATGGGGCAGCCACAGCTTCCCTGGGGAACCTGGGCCAGTGTCTCACCACCCTCACAGGAAAGAATTTCTTCCTAGTATCTAATCTAAATCTCCCCTCTTCCAATTTAAAACCATCACCCCTCGTCCTGTAATGCCTGGGGAAACCGCACCTTTAGAAGACTCTAGTGTCTGAATTTGTGAAAATATTTACTTTCTGGCCAGCCAGGCCCTGCGGGGTCCAAGGTCTCGGTGTTTTCCAGCCTCACCAGGTGCAGTGACAAGGAGGAGCGAGACCCGGGCACTTGACCCAGGCTGCCCAACGGGATGATTTCACCCCGTGCACACCACATTCCGTACAAATCAGGGCAGTTTGCTGTGTGGCTCCCTCTCCCACTTGGCGTCGGGGGTCCTGACAGCTCCCTGCCCCACCGCCAGCCCCCTGAGCCCTTCCCTTCCTCCCGCAGCCACAGCGCTGGCAGCGCCCGGCGTCTGCCCCTGCCCCGGGCACACAGCCCCCTGCGGGTAGAACAGGCTGAGTAGGATCCACGGATATTTTATACTGGTATCGGGATCAATACTGGTTCTTCAGTATTACTGTTAATTATTTAGTCTTATCAAATTTACTTATAATTCAGCCCTCAGGTTTCCTTGTTTTCCCTGATTCCCTTTCCCGGGTGGGGAGGGGTCATCGGGTGACAGAATAATTGTCTAAATGACAATGAAGTGTTGTGGGTTTCTCAAACCATGACACTAACACCTAACCTAAATCTCCCCTCTTTCAGTTTGAAACCGTCACCCCTTGCCCTGTCACAACTGCCCCTGACAGAGTCCCTCTTCGTCTTTCCTGTAAGGCCCCTCAAGGTACTGGAAGAGGTATAAGGTCCCCCTTCTCCTCTCCAGGCTGAACAACCCCAACTCTCTCAGCCTGTCCTCATAGGAGAGGTGCTCCAGCCCTCTGATCATCTTCATGGCCCTCCACTGGACCCATTCCAAGAGGTCCATGTCCTTCCTGTGCTGAGGACTCCAGAGCAGAACGCAGTACTGCACGTGGGGTCTCACCAGAGTGGAGTAGGGGGCAGAATCACCTCCCTTTACTTGCTCGCCACACTTCTTTTGATGCAGCCCAGGATGCGGTTGGCTTTCTGGGCTCAAGTGCACATTATTGGCTCATGTCCATCTGCCCTGTCACAACTGCCCCTGACAGAGTCCCTCTTCGTCTTTCCTGTAAGGCCCCTCAAGGTACTGGAAGAGGTATAAGGTCCCCCTTCTCCTCTCCAGGCTGAACAACCCCAACTCTCTCAGCCTGTCCTCATAGGAGAGGTGCTCCAGCCCTCTGATCATCTTCATGGCCCTCCACTGGACCCATTCCAAGAGGTCCATGTCCTTCCTGTGCTGAGGACTCCAGAGCAGAACGCAGTACTGCACGTGGGGTCTCACCAGAGTGGAGTAGGGGGCAGAATCACCTCCCTTTACTTGCTCGCCACACTTCTTTTGATGCAGCCCAGGATGCGGTTGGCTTTCTGGGCTCAAGTGCACATTATTGGCTCATGTTCACCTGCAGTTCCCTGGGTCTTCCTTTTTTTCCCTTTTTGAAAATGGGGGTTATGTTTCTCCTTTGCTACGGAACAGAACATCCCTTCAGGCAGCTCGTCCCACCTGTGCTCCCTGTCAGCTTCTGAAAAAGTCCTTGATTAACGTAACCATCAGGGGAACTGGAAGGATAAAAGCGAGAAATTAATGAGTTGAGATTAAAAAAAGTTTAATAGTTGGAAAAACATTAGTAGAAAGGAGTCAGTCTCAGCTGCACCCACTCCTGCATCCCCGCAGCCTGCACATCAGCAGAGTGAGTACCTATACAGAGAGCCCTGACTTCGGCATTTCAATCTCCATCCCACTAAATAATTCTATTTTTCACCAGAAAAGGGGTAGCTCCACCGAAATGGAGCCTCAAAAAATTCCACGACACTCGTGCTTGTTCCTCTCCACGGAAATCTTTAGTAAAAGGCGAAAGATTTATACGATCTGAAGAGAAACCAGAGTATACTTTCGTTGTATCCAGCACCCACCGCCTCCCCACGTTGTCCCCCCGCAGCACACGGCG